CATCTCTGAACGCAGCTGGGATTGTGCCATATTCTATAGTCCATCGGAATGCATAGCTGTGAAAGGGCGATTGTTTTCTTGCCCCCCTCAAAAGGAACTCCTTTACCACAACTCTCCAAGCGTGCACACGGCGCTCGGAGATTCGATACCCGCCCTAATGAATTGTTCCTGGTATGACAAAGTGGTGTCTTTGTTGGTCTCGCCGATGTCTTCCTCCTTAGCATCGCCATCTTGCAGGTAGCTTCCGCCGCCATAGCCGTCACCAGCATTCATAATTGAGAAAGCCAAGTCGTCACCATCATCGCCGAGATCGTTCTGGTCCGTGTCATCTTCGTCGCTGTCGTCCTCATTTGGATCCCAAAGTTCTGGGAATCTCCGAACGAAGTCCTCCAGCTCAACCAATCTCAAATTGGGGAATTTCTCACGATCTGTCAACACCTCGCACATGTTATGACGAACTTGATGCTCGTTACCTGCCAAGTGAAGACGCTTGATTGAGGCGGGCAAAGAAGTGCTGAGCTTGTGTGTCAGTCGCTTGTGCTTTTCTGAACGACTGGAGGAGCCATATTTGACTTTCTTCAATACACTCGAGGCATCGACCCAGAGACTCTCCAGATTGCTGAAGTCCGAAAGACTTCTGATAGCCTCATACTCTCCACGATACCAGTCATTGAGATCAAGGCAGAGAGTGAGGAGGGTAGTCGTCGTGTTCTGGTGCTCCCGGAGTATGGTAACAACCTCTTCGGGTGACACAGGCCAGTGTGGAACGTATGCATCTGCCCGGGAGTTCAGATACTTGAAAGAGACAAGGGAGGCGCAGCCTTGGATCATCCCCCGAATCTTCCGCTCATCCAAAAATGTCTCGGTGATGGTGAGACAAGTAACATTGGACCATTGTGAGTGGGTATCGAGAGGAGAGGCTGGTTGTCCATCCCGACTTGCAATGAAAATCGATCTGGCGTTCGGAGCGAAATGAAGTAAATGGTTAAGATCAAGAGGCGTAATAGTTGCGTCTGGATGACTCTTTGGAAGGCAACTCGGACGTACAGCGAGCATCTTGATATTCGGAAGTGGTCGCTGAACACCCCGAAAGGTCTGAATCTTGAGGGGATCTGAAGGGCCTGGCTCCCCAGTCCATAGTAGGCCATCGAGCTCGGTTCTGGACCATGGGCCGTACTGATCGCAAAACAGGCCTCCCGGCACTGCGAGACCTAGCTCTTGTACTCCGTGTACACGCGAAAGAATGATCTCGAGAAGAATGCCAAGGTGTAAGATCCGAGTTCTGGAGCATCGAGATTCCGACATTTGGAGAAGCTGTCCATCTTCCGAGTGCCAGAGGTAGTACGGTGACGGGGCGCCCGACTGTCTAGCAGCCCAGTGACTCCATTCGAGATCTGCCTCTGTAAAGTCCTTGGTCTCCATGTTGCTAGGATCTAAGTGTAGATACAGTCTTCGGATGTTGACGGCAACATCTTTGTTGTCAATCAGAAACTGAATGAAGCACTTGAGCTTTTGGAAGCTGTTGGATCCATGGATGCTGATATTTCGGTAGAGCTCGGGAACCAGCATGTGCCGATACTTTCTGCAGGTACGTGAGAGGTTCAAGGCTGAGGACCAAGCTGGTTGAATCCTTTTGGCCAGATCTGCATCCGTGTTGGTGACAGAGAACTGTTCCCGTAAAGAGGATGATGGGAACATCTGATATATGATTTCTGGAGGGAGATCATTTAGGGTCGCCATCGTCAATGATTTGATCGTGAGTATCTGAGTGCAATGTGAACGGTGGACTGTGTGAGTTTCGAGTGATCTCTTTACTCTGAGGGGGGATTCTGGTACTAGATGACAGTCAATAGTTGTTCGCCAGGCTGAATACAAGAGATGGAACAACGTGATCGGGTTTAGGTACCTGGCAGATTATCGGCTGTGCCCTCAGAGGCCAAATGCAAGACCGTTCACGCAAGAGCGACCGCCTTGATAAGGGCCTTTGTGATCCTCGAGGGAGACAAGAAAGTTGTTGTAATTTTGATCAACTTCTGTCCGTGAAGCAATCAAACCGAAGTTGACGGAGAAGACCGACTTCAGATCGACGGAGTAGAGTATGAAAGGCAGAAAAAGGTGGCGAGGTGAATGTTGGGACTGGAAGTTTTTGCCTTCCTCGCCGGCAGCTTTGAAAAGCCAGAAAAGGTGAATGAAGGGGGGGAGAAAGGAGAAACGCGGTCAAGGTCGTGCTTTCCGCCGGGAGGACAACAAAATCTGGTAGGCAAAAACAAATCTCGATATTCACCACTACTAGCCTGAAAGGCGGAAAGGTGAAGTATTCAATGCACCTGGTCTCAAGCCCCACAGCTACCACGCCCTCGGGTCATAGGTATCTGTGTATTCTCATTGATGTCTGGGTGTATTCTCGCCAACATGTCTTTGCCAAAGCGGAAGGAACGACAGCGTTGTAGATTCTTTGGGCAGATCACTACCATTGCACCATCTACCTACCCCAGCCAGTCGACTTTCTTCCGATTTTGTACGATGATCAGTCACTATGAGGGCCTGTTAGAAGTATTTGGGATCGATATACCATATTTAGTCTACCCCTGGGACATACGGTAGTCTGAATAACAGCAGAACTTGCATTGCCAATGATGGGACTTAGGTTATTCAAACGATACTCATGAGTTTCTGCCTCTTCTACTTCTTTGGTCCTACATCAGATAACATAACAAAAAGTCATCCAATATAAGAGGATCAAGCTGGTCTTAGATGGGACTTGTAATGGGTATCAGGCCATCGATACAGCACCCGTAGTACCCAAACATTGAACAATGAGTATTGTTCAGAAACATACTGGCTTTCATAAGGATGTGAACGTGAGGTTCTCGGTTTATAGCACAGCATCGTAACCGCGAAATAGCAGTCATCTCTATGAGTATAGTTCGCAATATTGAACTGATTGCCATTTGAAGTAATTGCCTGCTTAGTCGTTCCGCCGACGCTGTCGCGTTGGGATGAAGGAAGAAGTAGCAATAAACCAGATATGTTTTTCTCTTTACCACTGCTATCTGAGGTTGAGCAACATCTTAAGTCACCTCGGCTTCACGTTTGGACGTCAATGTGTAGTTGCTGTGGGTATCGCCTTCGCAGTATAATTAAGGTAGGACCTGGACAATCTGGAAACACCTTGAGGCGAGTAGTCCCAATTCCCGAAAACGGGTTTAACGGGCCGCAATATCCGCGAGTTTAACTGACGTCGATTATTAATTGGCAAGCCAAGTCTTATGACCGTACCATTGAGCTGTTATTACTGGTGACGGAGTTCAAATGAAACCTTAATAATTGGAGAGACAAAAGATACGCCGGACTACTATGCGTCCGTATGCCCGTTAGCCAGCAATGGCTGGCGCCTATATAATATCAGTATGTCCCGAGATAGTGATGGAGCGACTATTTATTAAGATAGCAGATAGACTTACGTTGTTTGCTTCTCGAACAATCCGTCTGAACTTCATCCCACAGGACACAATAATTATGACACTCTCATCGCTCTCCGTCCGAAACCAACGTCCCGAGCAGTCCCTTTCAACAACAAAGGTTGAACCATGGGAAGACTCCCTGAGAACCGACCCTTCTCAACCTGGTGTATTCGAATGGTGGTACTTCGACTCTCACTTGGACAATGGCGGAAAGCTCATGGTGGTATTCCATACCAAGCTCTTCACCAGCCCTCAAGTCGGACTCGAACCCAAGATTCAGATCCAACTCGAGACACCCGATGGCCGAGTCTGCAATGTCTTGCAAGCCTACAACCCAGATGAGTTCCACTCCAGCAGAGATGAGTGCGATGTCACCATCACTAGAGATGGCGTTGACAACTTCTTCCGTGGAACGGGGCTCAAGGAGTATCACATTCGCGTGACGGCCGAGAGCCTTGACATCGACATCCAAATGACCAACACGACCTCGCCCTGGCGCCCTGGCAAAGGCCACGTTTGGTCCAAGGACAACGAATATTTTGATTGGTTCGTGGCGGTGCCCCAAGGGAAAGTCACCGCTACTTATACCATTGCTGGCGAGTCGCCAGTCACGGTGGACGGCGATGGATACCACGACAAGAACTGGGGCAACGCGCCGCTCGCTCAGACGATCAACCATTGGTACTGGGGCCGAGGAACACTCGGGCCTTACACTGTCATCTCATCCGCAAATGTTTTCTCCGAGAAGCACGACTCTGTTCTGGTCAAGACCTTTATGATCCAGCACAAGGATACTGTCGTGGCTGATGATGGATCCAAGGTTAGCTTCAATGCTGAAGGCATCGAACATGATGACAAGGTTGACCGCCCTGTTGCCGACACACTTCACTTTGAATACCAGAATGAAGGCACAGTCTTCGTCATTGAGTACCTCAGAGAAGAGACCACATTGCGCCAGCAGATGAGCGGGGCATGGTATCTCCGTTTTGCCGGCGGGATGAAACTCAAAAAGTACCAAAACAACGAGCTGGTTGAAGAGCATGTGGGCCACACTCAATGGGACTCGATGTGGTTTGGACAAGGGCGTAAAGAAGCCCTTCCTTACAGGAAATGATGAGTGTGAGGATGGCCACGACCTGCGAGGCAGTTTGGGTGGAGCTTCAGCGAGCTGTCTCAATCAACAGTCTCGACGCGGAACAAGAGAAGGATCAAAAAGGCCGCTGGAGAGGACGAGAGTCTCTAGATGAAATATGACTGGCGATGTCTCTATACACGTGCTGTTGCTTGTGTTGATTTTAGAATAATAAGAAGGGTCAAGACTACAGTTCCTTCTCGGTAGGCTCTTGTATGCGTATTGAAGCCTAGCTCGACTTGTATCTCCCCCGCCAGCTTGCCAAAAGAAATACTAACTCCCCAAAGCTCAACTTTATTGATTATGTCGGACATACACTTCAGCGTCATCCCCAGCAATTCCCCTCCACGTGCTTCATGGGTGCCGATACATGGACGCCAAGTGAACGTATTCACTTAGAAGCATCAGGCAACCAGGAAAGTCCCTTCCACCTCTACAATATCATCGTCGTTCAGTCTCTGGACTTCAATGATCGACCGAGGGGGTTGTCTATTGGGGTCGTTCCCCCAAAGCTCCGTCTGTGCCTGATTGCACAGAGGCCTATACCGATACATATCGGTCACATACACAACAAGACGTACTGCTGAGAACCGATCAGTGCCAGCAAGCTCGGCAAGTTGGATCATGTTGGCGTAAGCTTGGCGGATCCGGTCAATACCCACCGGAGCAAGGGTATTGTTAGATGGGTAAATGCCGCGCATGCCTGCTCCCGCGCATTTGTCAGTGGCTATGGTGGGTAACGCGAGGCAAGTGGTTATGTACCGGCGACGTAAACAGTACTTCCTGCCTTTGACATCAGACTCCATGGACCAGTAGGTGGGAACATAATTGAGGGATTGAAGATCTCTACCCCTGCAGATGAGGTGTAGTTGGGTTCCAGGCGAAGCGAAGTCGCCGCTGATATTATGGATAGAATGCCGAGGAGCTTCATTATAGAGTGAATTGATACAAACACCTGCGGAATGCGAACTTTGAAAATTTAATCGTGAGCGCTTCAGGGGAGGACTCGGAACCCCTTTAATTGGGTTTATTTTCCACGCGCTGCTCAGTTCATGACATCATACCAAGCTGGCTTTGCATGCTTGGCGCCGATCAAGTCCCTCGCGTCTGTTTTCTTCTGTAATATGACACAAACTAGAAACTTTGGCTAGAGGTAACATTATTATGAGTCCGAGGGAACTACCTGCTACTGCCTTTCTAAGATCCGATACTTGATAGCGCAACGTGTGTGACCTATCGCTCGCATAGGTTTCACTTTTCCAAGCGGGATTACGAAGAAACATGGGAGCAAGATTGAACTCTGGAACCTGGAGCAACCTTCCAATTTGCGAAAGTGAAGGCAGAACATGTTTGGCAGTGAAAGGGCTGACTCTCCGGTTGCTAAAGATGGAAGCTGGGCCACGGGGGCGAGAAAAGGCTGCAGTGAATGACCTTTCCTATCTTGTGCCCTACTAATGCATAGAATCATGTACTTTCAGAGTAGTCACTCTACCTTACTGAGATTTAGATTATTGTAATGCAACTAAACCGATCAATCTTAGAGATAGAGGCGAATAGACTGTTGAAGTCAAAAACTCCGACTATCTCAGTCAACCGGACGGACTCGTTCAATCCATAGCCACATGCCTGAGTGGTCTCAAGGATGCGCGGAGTCTGTTTCACTGTAACATGACATTAGTATACGAATATGTAACGTTCCTGAAGTCTTCATGATTCATTCTTATCTCTACAATCCGGCAAGCCGTGAGGAAAGCCTCCTCATCGCCGGCGCATTACGTTTGTAACATATTGACTCCAAAGGTCTGAGTACATAACTCGGTTTTTGATGTACTTTCAAATGTCTTCTTACTGATTCGGCTTTTCCCATCTGATTCTTGATCAGCTTTTGCATATTATTGAGTAAGGCAATCGGATTGCCATCTCATCTCAAGACGTCGTCCGAATACAGTATTAAGCATTGTGAATCAAGTGTTCCACGTGAGTCTCTTGTACCGTGTTCGGTGTGTCTCAAACGCTAGCTCAAAAACGGAGGCTTCCAGCGATTATCATCGAAGACGCGCCGGATCCGGAACTTGGTGGGTCTAGTGTCTGACAATACCGTCTGGTTCAAATAAGATATCCACGTGTTGAATTTTTGGGCACTTTGGGACATATGCTAGTTTCAACCCTAATGTCATGAACTTGCTGCACTGCCTGGCATTAAGACTAGGAAGATGGCTCAGAGCGACTCCGCTACGAACCGGGACGAATCGCCGCTAAGCTGGACACTGAGCACTCCAGAAGAACAAGAACGAGAAAAATACTGAGTCGGAAGTCTCAATTAAGTAGAGCAAGTGCAAGACAGCGCTTGGTCTGGAGAATGCCTACAACGCCAGCGATTTGTGGTTTCTCTTTCCTAGAACATCTACTAAACACCAAGCTGCGTGCCTTGCCGCGATAACGCGTGGCCGAGGCGGGAGTCTCAGCTCGATAATCGCAAGCCCCCAACGAAAGCGTCTTGATTTTCCCGCAGAATGAACTAGGCTTGAAATATTGTTGGTCGAAGAACGACCTAGTGACTGAGACTTGTCAAATTTCGGCAGTGTCTCAGTCGGACTTTGAATCAGTGACACAGCTGAAATAAGCATCGAGCGGATGAGACTCTGTATGGCAGAATGCGATGGGCCTACGGAAGGAAATTGCTGCAAAGGAGCATTGCACCAAATGAACGGCCCTCTGCATGACGGTTCGGACTCTGGAGATTGAAGTTGCACTAAGCAGGCGAGCTACAGGAAATGGCATGATTCTAAAGAAACGGAGGGGTCGGCCCGTGACACGGTGCTTCCGTTGACTCTGGGTCATTCCGTGTGCAGTCCGGGAGATCATGAACTGTCTCAAGCCTCACGTCTCTGAGTAAAATGGAGATCTATAAAACAGCCTGCAAGACAGCCTGAAAGGGACCGCTAATGGGATTTTCGCATCATTGTCAATCGCATCTCGGGCAGGCAGCACTAGGACTACCTTACCTCGGGATCTTTAGTCCATCATGAACCTCTCAAAGTTCCTCACGACTTTTCTCCTTTCTGCCCTGGCGGCGTCTCATCCCCTTCTCGAGAGAGATGAGCTCCAGGAAAGAGCTCAATTCCAAAAGACAGGCTTCATCATAGACCAGCACAACCGGGCGAGGGATCTCATGATTGCGTTAGAGAAGACAGAGCGACAAGGTATGTCTCAAGGCTGGTGCCTGCCAACGAATCTTTAACTAATCGATGCGAAACAGACGCCAAATTTAGAGAGAGTCTGTCTGCGGATTGCGCCCACGCAGATAGGATCGTTCAGAATATTCGACAGAAGGAGATGAAGACAGTTTGGAATCTGAACAACGGAAGCTTTGCTGGCGAGATGTTCGCCTTGGCCCGCCCAAAGATCGCAAACACGACCTTGTGGAAAGTCGTCCAACGTATGCCGAAAGGCGCTTTACTTCATGCGCATCTCTCAGCCATGCTCCCTTACAACACTTTGCTTTCTTCCGTCATCTCCGTGGAAGGGATGCTATTCAAGACCACAAAGACTATTGGCACCGCGGAAGGGCGCATTGCATCTCAGCCTGCATTCTTACCGCCAAACTCTGCCACCGTCAGCCAGTGGGCCGACATCGCCTCCGCAAACTACACAGGCCAGGTTGTGACTGTCGCAACTGCCATCGAGCAGTTTCCCGGGGGAGAGCCTGCGTTCCGCGATTTCATCATGAGCAAGTTGGTGCTTGCTCCCGACGTGGCGATACAGCACGAATTAGGAGTCGATGAGATTTGGCGTCGCTTCCAGCCCTTGTTTGGCACAGCAGGGACTATGCTGATCTACGAGCCCGTTGTACGAAGTTTCTGGAGGAATCTCTTTGACGAACTCGCGAGAGATAGGATCAGCTGGGTTGAGATCCGTTCTGGAGGCGCGGCGGGCAAGCTGGTAGAGACTGGGGCATCAGCATCGGATGACAGTGACGGTAAGAAATGGTGGGGTCTCATGGAGGAAGAGCTTGCCTACTTCAAGGGTCAGCATAACGATACCTTACAAACCGACGCTACTCTAGCTCCCTTTTACGGTGCTCGGGTTATCTGGGCAGACCAGCGATCTAAGCCGACGGATCAGATCCTAGCAAGTGAGTCAAACCTCTACATAGACGCAATATTACACACAATGATTACAGAGGCTAATGATTGTTGTGTAGGCATGAAGAGTGCGTTGGAGCTGAAGGGCCACTTTTCAGAGCTATTCAGCGGATACGATTTAGTCTCCCAGGAAGACCTGGGCCGTACGCTGCTCGATCTTGCGCCGGAGCTATTGTGGTTTCAGCAGGAGGCGAAGGAGAAAAATCTCACCATGCCCTTCTTCTTCCACGCAGGGGAGACACTCGGCGATGGTAATTCGACCGATCTCAATCTGTTCGACGCTGTTCTTCTGGGGACACGAAGGATCGGCCACGGATTCTCGCTCTACAAGCATCCCGAGTTGATCCACGCTGTGAAGAAGAATAACATCATGGTTGAGGTGTGTCCCATCTCCAATGAGGTACTTCAGCTGGCTACGGATATTCTGCATCATCCCTTGCCAGCTATGATTGCGCACGGCGTCACGACGGCTATCAGCAACGATGATCCTGCAATGCTGGGACAGGACGCCGCCGGGCTGAGCTACGACTTCTATCAGGTCATTCAAGGGTTTGATAACGTTGGCCTCGCTGGACTGGTATGATTCCTTTTACAAGCTTTGGTGCTTTTCCGTTGTTAACAAATTATGACAGGGCGCCCTTGCGCAAAACAGCCTGCGGTGGTCCAATTTTGAAGACCAAGATGACAAGCAATGGGCGTTGGATATCGAACTGGGTGAAATAGGAAAAGGAACTAAGGGCCAGCGCATTCAAGAGTGGAATGTTCAGTTTGATTCCTATTGCCAGGAGATTGTCAAGGATTTTGGCGTGGCATATGGAGGTTAGCGGACAACTGAATATGTGCCGAGTGGCGTGCACGTTCAGTAAGAACCCCGGGCTGAGAACCCCGAGCTGAAGAAGTGACTGCCAACGGCCCCGATGATGGAAACGCCGTGGTAACCGGCCATGACTCTCTCATCTTGGGTCAAGACACGGAAGACTGGCAGGGCATATATTCCGAGAATAAGAAGATCGAGCCGCACAAATGGGGTTTAGGAAGATGTGAGTGTGTGTGTGTGTGTGTTAGAAAAGGAGAAGAAAACTTGTCGCAAAAAGCAAGGCAAGGAGTTTTTTCATTGGTATTCAAAGCACCATTGGTTATGGGCAAGTGGTTTATTGCTAGTCTTTGAATCAATATCGGTGATTGCATGAGGTCTTCAGGCGGAAGTGACAACAATGCCGCCAGATCTTTCCCTCAAACCCTCAAATTGTGTCTTCAAGATAAATAGGCAAAGCATTGCTGTCAAGCGTCCACTCTGTAATGACAGCACAGTGTCGTCCACCATAGAAAGCAATGCCGATGGCTAGAATGCTAGTAATGGTTCAGGACGGATGGAAAGAACCAGACACTAAGTAGGAATGGGTAAGAAGAGAGCCAAAAGCTGGAAGTGAAGTGTAAAGGAGCGAACTGCCACTTAAAAGATGCTTTAACTTCGTGGCAATTTCGATTTTTGAAAATAGTATCGTGTTGAGGTTTTTGAGAGTGAGAGGCGTACACCAACCGATGGTTACGTTCACACAAAGGAGCGGGGTGAAAGCAAATAGGGAAAACTGAGAAAGCGTCAAGTCGCTAAGTAGGCAAGAGGTCTTAGACGAGGTTGTATCTATCCTTCCGAGTCTTATCTACTAATTCATGTCGAAAGACTGGCGAGGTGATCAAAACCTTTGCCATCGACAAGCAGCGAATGGAACGCATTCACTGCAGGGACTCAGAACAGTCTCCCCCCACCCACAAAACCAGAAAGCAGGGCAAATGATACATGGGTCTGGTTGAATGGTGGACTGAGAAACTTATATTGATGACTACTCGCGGTTGAAGCCGCTGACTCTCTGAAAAAGTCCTCTTGGATATGAAGTGAATTCGTATAAGGTACCCACGATACAATCGTAACGATTGGCACTCCATCTGGACAAAATACTAGAACAGGATCTACATGGTCTAATTGAGGACTTTGCTCAAATATTGGCTTGGGCGTTTGTCGTCCTTAAACTCTTCCAGATCATCGCCCTCATTGGTCCAGAGCCTGATATCACCATTCTCATCAATAAGCATGAGTTTGACTCCAACTGATTCAAGACTCTGGCTGTTTTGCTCGAATAATGTCTCATCGTTGATACCAAAAATTTTCAGATGCTTCCACCTTGCTTTGCCCTCAGTGAGCATGAATGATATCCAATTTTCGAGGTCCTGGCGAGGCCCTGTGATGCGAAGGTGAAACAAATTTTGTGCGTAATGGTTTGGTAGTGCGAATGACCTAATGGCTTCGTGCTTCCATCTCGCGTCGCTCTTGCCAGAGTCAATAAACAGGTGTGTCAAACTTTGTAGCAATCCCATTGACGGAGGAACCGCCAGCCCCGAGTATCCCCGCGGGGCGTTAAATAGGCCAAGACACAACGTTTTCAGACATTCTCCTTGAGTTGAATTCAGATCACCGAGAATTTTGATCAGTGGATCTTTCCAGTCCTGGCCAATACGCTCTTGATGATCCCCGGCAATGTATCTGAAGGCAGAGAGTTTGGTTGCGCGTAGATCGATGAGGTGGCCAATTTGGGCACCCCCAGGGCTTATCTTGTAGAACGTGATATCTGAATGGTTCCTTAGGCCATGACCTTCTTCGTTGGGAAATTTGGCAATCGACCCCTCGAGAAATAGGTGCTTCGCCGGCATAAAATCTGATAGAAGGCGGACGATCTCCTGGTCCCACGAAAGTGGTGGGTCAGGTTCCGGCCCACGAAAAGCTGAATCTCGAAGAGCCAGAGACGATACCATGTTTTTTATCTTGTGGTTGAAGCCTCTGAACATTTTTAGAATGTCCTTGTGGCACGCAAGCTGTACCATTTCCGGAAAAGTGTCCGTGGAGAAAAGAAGGGCGATGACTTGTACATGAAATTTTCGGATTGTCAACTGACTTTCGGGGCTCTCGCACATGAGAATTCCGTTCTCAAATCGGAAGGCTGTTGAATCGAAAGGAACATTCTGCTTATCTGCGAGGGACTTGACGCAGTCAATTTCGTATTTCCAAATTGGCCCCCATTTCTTGGGATTGATTCTTTCATAGTCGATATATAGCCGCTTAAGACGTGGCTCTTACTGCCCCGGATTGTTCTTGACGTGTACCAAAATCGTGATCAATTGTCGTAGGTTTCCTCCATCAACCCGAACCGTACGCATGGCATCTTTCATGAGCTCGACAAAATCGGCGTCTGAACTCTGGGCCCTGTTTTCCTTGTAAACAGCAAAGAGGGATTTCAACCATTTCGCATTATATGCGATTAATTTGGTTGAGTTCTCAGACAGCTCTGTGTCCTCAGACTCATCGTTTGCATTCTCAGACAGCTCTGTGTCCTTAGACTTATCGTTTGCATGGAGCTTCTCTCTCACTAGTATTTCATCTCCGAGAGACAAAATGGCTAGATGTTTGTCTTGATGAAGTACGAGAGATGACTTGCAAAACTCCATGAGTCCTTTGCATTCCTGTGACCTTTCCCATTCAGCTTTTTGCCCTGAAGAAGCTTCGATTCTCTCGTGTGATTGATACATGTATGAAGCAATCGTAAAATGAGGTAAAAACTTGGATTTCTCGTTCAAGTCCTTGGGTTTGTCAAGCTGGAGATCAGCTAATGAAGCGTCGGATAAATAACCTTGTCTGGATATTGAGACCTATGAGGCGGAAAGACTGGGTCTAGACGTAGGATTGTGCCGAAGTTGAAGTTGACAAGGAGAGAATGAAACATATAGAGAAGGGAGACCTGAGTACTCTTAAGTAAATATGAATTCAGAAGTTAAGCACATAGCCTGCGCTGTGATTGTTCGAATCGTAGCATCATGAAAGTTTGAGGCGGATGTCGAGGACCATCGGCGTTGCTCTACTGCTAGACACCGCCGAGAGGCTCCCGATTCTTGGTTCACCCTTGACACACTAGATTCTCACTTATTTCCCCACAATTGATATCCGGTCTTTGTTGCCGTCTGATTCTGTTCGCACGTACGCCTCTCTTCCAATGCCGTAGGCGTACCCCTTGGCTGCAAGCTTTGAACAAAGACGACTAACCGCCATCTCGTTCGGGATTCAGTCCTGGTTTGCGGCGGTGAAATAACCAACCAATTAACCCACTGTCCCCGGCAAGAATGCGATATGTTATAGACTGTGAGTGAACTCCTGAGTGTTACTCTTGGCAATTGTAGCCTTACTTTCTTGCCATCATATGGGGGTGGTGGACACGACAAAGGGTAGACAAAGAGTATGTTCCGAGATACATTATTTTAGTATGCAAAACCAGACCACACCGCGAAGAACAAAGGTCGAACAGGAGTCCAGTCTTTCAAGCAGCCTGTTCAGTTTGGAATGTTCGTGTGACCGATCAACTGGACGAACTGCAAGGCGATGACGAGGATTTGGCTGGCAATGATCCTTTGAAAGAGCGAATTGTATCATTAGCCGCCAGCGACTTATCTGTTATGATGTTCTGCGCGACTTCAGATGGGACAATCACAAACTTGCTATCTTGAAAGCTTTTGTGTTCCGAGATTTTTTCACATGAAGTGTATGAAAGAAATAGATTCACTGTGATGCTGCGTCAGTCGGCCGTAATTCCTTGGTCTTGCCGTGGAGACAGAAGCCAAGGCATACTGGGCCAGTGAAAATTTGTCGATGGCAGTCGTTTGGCGGTTGTACTCCAAGCCATGCAGTCAGAAAGTACTAACAAAGCCTTGTAAATAAGTGAAGATTGTAAAATTGCCTTCAAACGTATGAAAGTTGGAGTTGTAGCTTAGGATGGGCAACATGCGCAAAGTTTAATACTTAGGCAAGTTGACCAGAGCATGATGATTATGGCATCAGCGGGGGGGGGGGGGGGGAGATGGCGAAGGTGCGTTGATCAGTCCATCGCCTGCGAAATCATGCGACCCTTGGAAAACCCATAACCTGGTATTCTAAGACAGAATGTTGATGGAAGAACCACGTAAAAATGTGTTGAGACATGGCTGTTGTACGAATGTTAATAAGATGAGGATGGAGCATCAACGACTGTATTCAATCAGCCACACTGGCGACGAGATAAGATGGTGAAGTGCACCGCCACATGAGGCACGTTGCCTTACCTATCTTGTCCAAGTCCCTGGAGTTCGTGCGTCGGCCGGGCTGTGCAACACAACGTGGGCAGGCGTGGCGGGCTGCATCAGAGGGTACGTACCGATCTCCCACTAACGGGCAAGCAGCGGACGCGGTCAAGTCTCGGAATGACATTTCGCGACGCCTGACACTTGACAGTTTATGCACCGAAGCTCCGTCTCCATTTCTCGCCAGTCCTCCCCTAAACCACCTGGTCTCACCTTGGCCACCGCCGCCAATCGCCTCCTCTTTGCTGCTTCTCTTTCGCCAACCAGCCGACATCCTCTCACCGAGCTTGATGCGCGAATAATTCCAACTCCTCCTGCCCTGCTGGAGATGCCTTCGGGGACAACACTATGGACTTTGTGAGATACCCTAGACGAAACACCCCTCCCTCCCTTTTGATCTTGGGCTTGGGCAACAAGAAACTTCAATCCTGACCAAAATCTAGTGGTCGCGCCTCCTAGCAGGCACCTCGCTGTCCCCCGCGGCCCATCGCAAGGAAGAAGCAAAGAACCCTACGAAACGTCTGCATCGCTTCGACAAAGAGTACAACCGCATCCTCGTGAGAAGCTTCCCCCACGCTGCCGGCGAGGCCCTGATCTTAACACGTGATAGCAAATCTGGAGGTCGTCTTCCAATCTCGCCAACGACGTCGATGCCGCCGAGAACCTCGAACTCCGCCTCCAAGAACTTACAAACATCCTCAACGACGAGTCCCGACGACCGCTACCTCACCCGTGCATCCAGTATGCCGCCAAGAAACAAGTCTACGTACCCATTGGCAAGATAGCCACCACCTCCTACAATGAGTGGATCATCAAGGAAGCTGTGCTCTTCTTCGCAACTCTGCTCGAAACCGAAGAGGAGGCATTTGTCGAAAACACAACCTTCTCCGCCAGCTTGACGAACCTCCTGGTGCGCATCACCGGCGTCAACAGTGTGCGGTTGGGCTCTGATACCGAGGCCAAGGTCGTTGAGTTGGCTTTTAACATCACCACCAAGATCCGCCTCAACCGAGAGATACTACACGCTTGGTTCAAGAGCCATCACGATGGGAATCCCAAGGACAAGCCCCAGGACGGGCATGATGCATTTGCTGGCCGAACGCAGAGACAGGATTTCCCGTTATTCTACATCCTGATGGACTACATTCACCACGAGGGTAAGGTTGGGGACTTTGCCAGAACAGGTCTGCTGTACATCATTGAGTCCGCATCAAGCGACGAATCTCTCGAGCAATGGATTGTCGAGAGCGACCTCTCCACTCTCATGGCCACCGGCCTGGGTGCGCTCTACAGTCAGCTGAGTCGCAAGCTGGTTATTGACTATCCCACCAACGATCTGCCTCCCATCCTCGCTCTGTCCGACTACCAACACCCAGCCTCCACCTTTGAGATCATCAGCTCATGCTCTGGTGATTTCCAACTACACCTTGAGACCTTTCTCTCTCATCTTCTCTTCTGGCAGGATGTCTTGGACCACTGCAAATCCGTCGAGGTGAAGCAGACGCTTCTGGAGCATTTCCAGGTCATTTTCCTCCAACAACTCTTGTAAGACAGCCCACCTGCAGGTTGGCCATGGTAAATATTGACATATTCCCTAGATACCCTTCTTTACTAGAGTCGTCCGATATCGACGGAGGCTCGTCCGTAGCTGTCTTGACGTACCTCCGCCGGATCCTCGAATCCCTAGACCACCCTGACATGATCAACCTTATCCTTCATTATCTGCTCGGCTTGCCTGATCATGTCACCGAAGACATGTCAGGTTCCCGAGCCTCCATCAGTGCGGCTCGCAAGCGTAAATCCATGGATCTCGCTACTATGCTTGCCCAGACCAAATCCGACATCACGGCTACTCCTTTACTCTTCAATCTGGTCGATCTTGCTCAGGCGTGTCTACGCTCACATAACCAGCAGACCATCCGCGTGACTCTCCAGCTGATCTCAGCTATCCTCCGGAGGCATCATCGTTATGCTATCAGCACGCTGCTTCGGACTGAAGCGGTCTTGGGAGTCAAAATGCACCGGACTGTCGGTGCCCACGAGCAGGAGGTGGATTATTTGATGAGTTTGGCTGGGTCCATTGGAGGGCAGGACAACTTTGACGAAATCTACGATAACGTCCTGAAGGACACCATGTCCCGGCTCGAGAGTCATCCCTGCTCCCTGAAGCTGGTCGCACCCAAGATATCCACCAACAATCATGACTTGCCCGCTATTCCTGATACACTGCCTGGGGCGCCACGCGACGTGCACGAGCACACGCTTCGCCCGGACGACCCGCTGCTCAACTCGGTTTTGGATCTGCTCGAGACCTTTTTCATGAACCCCGTCGACACAAATCTCTCCCTCACCGAGGCCATCTTAGACCTGGCCATTTGTGGCTACATGGCACCCGAAGGATGGATGCTGCGGAGCCCTCAAAAGTACACCTATTACGAGCAGCCACCCAGCCCTACCTCACCCGACGCCTCGACCACTTCCTTTAGGCCCCCGACAGACCCTGATTCTACGACGTCGGAGGAACAGCAGACGCTCGAGTCGTTGGATGCCTGCCGTCGTCGTCCAGTATGGGTACAGTCATCCCTACCTCGCATACTCGTCGTCCTACAGCAGTTGTGCAACCAGGTCACCAAGTATCGCGAGACTGTGCC